TCTAGACAGAGACTCAGGGCGCTGTTATGACTGATGGTGCCCACCACGGCGGACACAACAGGTGGGAAATGGAACCTGGACATGAGGATTTGTCAATTCATATCCACAGAGGTGTGAGCCAGACACAAAATCACATCTACACACCGAGTGTGATAATTACTCTCTGAGACACACTGCAGGACGCTCCAATTAACACAGTCAAGTAAACACACACTTTCCCTCTGGAGGACGGTCCCTGAGGTCTGGAATCTGGACCACGTCCAACACGCAGACACCAGCTCCAGAGCTCAAATAGCCCAGCCCTGAGGCCTTGCTCTGTCCATGAGGTGGCACAGGACAGGGTGGAACATGCTGTGTGTGCTCAGAGGCTCCCCACGAGCCCCGACCATGGAGTGAGAGGCCGGGACACACTCTGTCCGCACCATGTGGACAAACTCAGGATAGAGACTCGACATGGCAGCAGGATCTTTCCCCCCAGACTGCAAGTATCTGCACTTTGCAGGGGTGAATCCACTCACACTTGGAAGTTTTCAAATTCAAGCTTAATTCTAGACTTGAGAATGTGCCCTAGGTAAACTATTTGTTTTCTAAATCATGACAACTAATGCTGAAGGCGCCCATGTTGCTCAATGTCCCACTGCCGTGTCAGCCTAGGTGAGACTCAATGAGAGAAAACATTCTTTTTTTAATTTAGGATGGTCAACGATATTGACTTAATACATTGATCATATTAAAAGATTTTTATTTATGGGATATGTGACAGTTAATGTTAATACCTAGGATTTCAGCATCAGCACAATCAGTGTGTTTTGGATACTAAACAAAAACACAACAATTAATGGAATTAGACTGTAATGAATAATGCTAAAGGAAACTAAAAAAATAATATTTATTGTTAAATTCAGAATGTTAAGCATTTCTGTCCTAAACATCATGACAGATATAAGTCAAGTAGATACTCAATAACATTTACAGCAACATGTTGACGGCTTCAGGGCTCTGATTCTAGCATGAGGCTGGCAGCATCGTGTGACTATTTATGGACGTGAACTTGGGATTTTCCCCCAACTCCATCACTGAGGGATTGTTCGTAATATTGTAAAATAAAGTCACAATATTTAAACAGGGCCTGGAGGAGATAAATGTCAAATGTTATTTTATCATTTTAAATTTGTATATAAATCACTTAACAGATGTCAACATAATTAACAAATAAGTACCCTAATTTATTTCCTTTTTTTTTTAATTTCAGAAATTATTCCCACCAATGGGTTGCAATTATTTATATTACCATATTCTCCTAAAAATCCTGCCTCCCCAGGGCCTGCCCCTCCGCCAATCTACAGAGGGGGGACAGGGTGAGATTAGGGAGAGGGAGGGGATTGGGCAGGGCTGCCCTGGGTCCAGATGTCCCTACTCATGCACAGGCCTGGGGGGAGGAACAAACCCGCACCCGGGGGACCCGGGGCCCTGGGACCGGCAGGGACAGCCACACACACAGACCCATCTGGCTCAGCCCGGGAGCGGCCTCCTCCCTGCACAGATGTGCATGAGTCTGAGGGGGATACAGAGGGGCCAGGAGGGACCCAGGGATGGACGAGCCCATCCTGCAGGAGGGATGTGTGGGTGTGACCCAGGAAGAGACTCTGCGGGAAACGTGGTCTCTGGGTCCTCAGATGTGGAGAGTCTGTGGCAGGGAGATGAGTGGATGAGAAGATGGACCAGGAGGCAGCAGTGAGGGCACAAGGACAGGAATGTGACAGAAGAAGTGTCAGGACACGCCGCACGGGGACGCCGAGCACAGATCATTCAGTTCGAGGACAGTGTTGGGTCCTGGGGAGCAGGAAAACAGGGACCAGCACACCCCATCTCCCTGCACACCTGTCACTGTGGGGTCTCCCCAGACCAGGGCTGTGCTGGAGGAGGGACAGGCTCTCTAGGTTGGGGAGGGGCTGAGCATGGTCACGTGTCCTCTGGCACTGTGTCCTGGACAACCTCTGGGAGGTGTGCTGAGCGGAGACTCTGGGGCCTGGGCTGGAGGGGGAGCAGCAAGACTGGGGCAGTTGGGAGGGACAGTTAGTCGGGTTTGTTGAGAGGTTTGAGATTGTAATTCTTAAAGTTCAAAGAATTTAGGGTCAATTAAAATCTTCAAGCCTTCCCCAATTTTCAGGACATGATTGGACAGTGTGATCATGTCCCCTCACAGGAGATGGAAATGAAAGTTTGAACACAGCAGCACATGCAGATGAGGGTACTAGACTCCGTGGCACATAGAAGGAGTGATTACCGGCTAAATACATTGAATCATTATTCTATGCTGATAATGCACTTATGCTCAATATTGGAAGATATGACAAAGTTTCTTCCTCTTTATTTTTTCATACAGATGAATGCTGCTGAGGGGTGACCAATCTCACGGCCGTGACAGATTTTGTCCTCCTGGGGTTCCCCACCCAGGGGACCATGGGCTTCTTGCACCTGCTGCTCTTCTCCCTGGTCTACCTGTGCGCCCTGCTGGGGAACGGGCTCATCATCCTCATCACCACCCTGGACCGGCACCTCCACACCCCCATGTACGTCTTCCTAAGGAGACTGTCCTCGGACTTCTGCCTCTTCTCAGCCATGGTCCCCAAGTCCATTGCCAACTCTCTGAGGCACAGCAGCTCCATCTCCTTACAGGGCTGTGTCCTCCTGGTCTTTGTGCTGGTTATTTCAACAACTGTGGAGCTTCACCTGCTCATGGTGATGAGCCTTGACTGCTATGCTGCCATCTGCCACCCCTGCACTATGAGGTCATCATGATGAGGGACAGGTGTGTGCAGCTGACAGCTGTGTCCTGGCTGTGTGGGGGGGTCTCTATGCTGTAATGCACACAGCTGGCACCTTCTACTTGTCCTACTGTGGGTCCAGCATGGTCCACCAGTTCTTCTGTGACGTCCCCCAGTTATTGCCTATTTCCTACTCAGGAAATTTAATGAACAAACTTGTCCCCATTCTCACTAGTGTGGCCTGGAGTATCAGCTGTTTCATTTTCATCATCATTTTCTATGTCCACATCTTCTCTGCTGTGAGGAAGATCCCATCCACAGAAGGGAAGGCCAAAGTCTACTCCACCTGCCTTCTCCACCTGCTAGTTGTGGTGCTGTTTCTCTCCACTGGAAGTTTTGCTTATCTGAAGCCGACCTCAGGGACCCCGTCCACGTCTGACGTGGTCATTTCTGTGTTCTACATGATGGTGCCCCCCACCTTTAATCCCATCATATACAGTCTGAGGAACCAAGCCATTAAGTCGGCTGTGGGGAGACTGATGAAGAGCCAGTACACCAGCATGTGAGATATCATTGTTTTCCTAAATTAATTACACCATCTACATTCATGAACCCAGCAGTTATTTAGATTTTCCCTCTAACTATTACCATCACCATTTTAAAGTAAAATAAGACTTTTCATTTCAGATTACCTTTGACAAATTTTAACATTTTTCTATTCTTCAAAAATATATTTCCTGGGCCTCCCAGGTGGTGCAACGGTTGAGCACTGGGTTGCAAAGCTGCACATAGTCTCTTCAGTGCTGGTTTGATCCCCAGTTGCTGGCGAGGGTCCCCCATGGCACACAGACATCTCCTGCTGTGCCAGCTGCTCCCCTGGCAGAGTATTTCATCAGTCGGCCTGCTCTGCTCCCTGCCCTGGCTCTGGTGAATTATCTCACCCTCACGCACTTCTGCCTGTACCCATTGCTTGTATAGATAAATAAATCTTAAAAAAAATATTTTTCCTAAAATAATGCAGTCATTTTTCAAAACTCATATCTGTGTGACATTCAGTATATGAATCCTAGTTTTTTTTTAAATATTATGGCTGGTATGTGAAAGAATGTTCTAGATAGAGCTCAGTTATCTCCAAAATTTATGAAATCAAGCAGTTGTAAAGGGGGTTTGTCCTTGGGAGTACCTGGTCACAGGACCCCAGTTCTGGGCACTCGGTACCCACAGCTCCTGTGTGTGTCTCCATTGAGGACCCCGCCTTGTGGAGGGTATGGGAGGGGAGACAGAAAGTGGGGCCTCCCAGCCCTCAGGATTCGTAATGGGGCAACATCCTCCAAAAGAAATTCATTCTTCGGTTCAAAAGTCAAGTAGGAATTGCACTTGAAATGAATCTCCCACAGATGGGTGGAAGTTTCTTAAACAATGTGAATCTGGGTTGTTTCCGTAGCCTACCTATTGTAAACAGTGCTGCAATAAACTAGCAGTACAGGCGTCCTCTCGAATTAACATGTTTTTGTCCCTTGGATAGATCCCTAGGAGTGGGATTGCTGCATCATATGGAAGCTCCATTTTTATCAGTGTGAGGGATCTCCACACAGCTCTCCATAGTGGTTGGACCAGTTCATACTAACACCAGCAGTGCAGGGGAGTTCATTTTTCTCCACATCGGATGCCCCCTCATCGATAACTGGATCAAGAAGATGTGGTCTATACACACAATGGAATATTACTCCGCAACCAAAAATATAAACTTGTGCCATTCACAGCAACACGGATGGAGCTGGAAGGGATCATGCTCAGTGAAATAAGCCAGACAGAAAAAGAAAAATACCAGATGATCTCACTCATAGCAGGAACGTAGAGGATCCAAATAAGAGAACAGGAAAAAAAAAGTATTTATAATAAAGCAAAAATCAACACCAACAGGCGACTATAAACCTGACACACTACAATGGGGATAAGGGAGCAGGAACAGAATGGGTGGGAAGGGCACAGAGGACGGCAGTGATTCTCGCGGATGAGTGGGTGCTGGGATCTCACAGGGACTACACCTGAGATGAGAAAGCATACATTGTGCAAAAAATGAAGAATGGTGTAAAAATATATAAAAAAATATTAAAAATAAAAAAGAATCGGAGTCTATGATTTAAGCCTCTGTTTCATGGTCATTTTTGCGGCGTTCTGATTTGATTACAGTCCTTCAAAAGCATGTTTTTTTTTTTTTTGTGAACTATTTTTGAAGAACTATGTTTCGTTTGTTAAGTTTTATAATTTTTAAGACACTTGATGCTCTTGTGTTTATTTTTAGGAGTTCACATTTTAGGGGTTCACAAGGTTGTTTGTTGATGTCCTGCACCAGGTCTTCTCCTCCACTTTCTGGTACATCTGGGATTATGTCTCTTTCTACATCATATAAAGTGAAGCACGGCACTATCTGTAATTTTTATTCTCGGCAGTTTCTGTGCTGTCAACACTGGGGCCTCACGGCTGCTCACCCACCCTGAGAACATGAACTGGGGGAGGCTCCTACCTCATGCGTCCTCTCTGCAGTTGGACAGGTGTCTCCAAACATGCCTGACGGATCATAACAGACTCAGTCAGACAATAATTCTCTTATAACATGCATGGTAATGGCCAGACCGAATCCATTGAGATTTCAGAATAAAATATGTGTGGGGAAGTCTCCCAAGCTGCTCCTCTTTACATGAAAGACCCTGAAGGCAGGTGTCTCCCCCCTGGGCCTCCATCACTCTCGGACCACGGCCTTTACATACTTTCTGTCTTGGCTTTGAGCAAAACCTCCAGACTCTTTTGAGAAGAGGAATTTACCTCCCGAGTGGGGTGATGTGGGGTCATGTTAATAATTGCCATTAATCACGTCTTTGTTGTCTTGTTTTGGGGTTCCATTTCTGCCCCTCTGTGTGTGAGGTGCCCCCCTCACACTCCATGGAACACCCACGTGAACACCCTCCTACTTCCACAAGTCCAAGGACAGGGAACCCCAAGTGAAATAAACAAGTGGCCCCACAACACTAGAGCACTCCTGGACCTCAGAAACCACTGTGAGCACAGGCCCTGCATGGGGAGAAGCCATGTGCACCCCACATTCCTGACAAGGGCATTTCATCCATCCACACACGTGTCCCCACCACAACAGGGAGCAGCACCCCAGTCTAGACATATGCCAAGGCCTACATGGACAGTCTCTAAGGAGGACGCCCAGTGCCTGCAGAGTCGCGGGCAGGTGTATTCAGCCTCCAGACCCTGCTCCGAGCTCGCTGGTGTGTCCTGACCCGCACGCGGATGTGTTTGTTTCCGTCCCGGGATGGGCTCATCCTGTGGGGCCAGCGAAGTCCAGGGCGAGATCGTGTCATTATTCAGTGTTAAAGTCTAATAAGCTGGGCGGACTCTGCCCTGCTGCTTCCTGGGACCTCTGAGAGCTGCCAGTGACCACGCTTCAGCTCCTCACACTCAGCCCACACTTTCCGTCGTGTCCCCTTCCCTCAGCAGGTGCTGGACACAGGGATCCACACGGTGGACAGACTCGAGTCTGTGTCCGAAGAGATTAAATGTGGGGAATGTGCTCCTGGGCTGAGAAGCTTTGCTCAGTCGTGGTGAGCAGGAAGGACTGACCATTCCCTTCATTGGCTGAGACGTTTCAACCAGAAGAGTGGAAGTGAGTACATAGGATCCCCACAACCAAAGTCTTTGAATTTCTTGGCATCTGTGAGATGAGTAACGTGTTTTATAGATGCAAAAATTAAAAGAGGAATGGCTTGTGTAGGGCTAAACAAGTCCAAGAAACAGAAATCAGCTCCACAAGGCCACCCAGAACTATTGGGTGCACCGGACATCTTTTCATCTCTTCATCATATCGGGTACAACCTAGAGCAAAACAATAATGGCCCAATGAAAGGAGAAGAGACAGCAACCAATTGTTCATAGCATTTGCAAAGGTAAAGACAGACTGGGCCTCCATGTCAGTTCTGCCCACATGGGTTAGAGAAATGCACATAAGTGGGGTTTTCTTCCTTTTCATCTGCTCCTGACCCACTTGATCTCTGAAAGTCACCTAGCACTCTCTTCAGCAAATGTGTGCTGGCTTGTGGCCTCCTCCCTGCACAGACGTGCATGAGTCTGAGGGGGACAGAGGGGCCGGGAGGCACCCGGGGTGGACGAGCCCATCCTGCAGGAGGGATGTGTGGGTGTGACCCAGGAGGAGACTCTGCGGGAAACGTGGTCTCTGGGTCCTCAAATGTGGGGAGTCAGGGGCAGGGAGATGAGGAGATGGACCAGGAGGAAGCAGTGAGGCCACAGGGGCAGGAATCTGACAGAGGAGGCGTCAGGACACACCACATGGGGACACACAACCCAGATCATTCAGTTCCAGGACAGTGTCTGGTCCTGGGGAGCAGGAAATCAGGGACCCGCACACCCTATCTCCCTGCACACCCGTCCCTGTGGGGCCTCCCCAGACCAGGGCTGTGCTGAAGGAGCAGGGACAGGCTCTCCAGGGTGGGGAGGCGCTGGGTTTGGTCACGTGTCCACTTGGGCTGTACCTTGCATAACCTCTCGGAAGTGTGCTGGACGGAGACACTGGGGCTTGGGCAGGAGGCGGGAGCAACAGTACTGGGGAGGTGGGGAGGGGCTGTTGGTCTGGCTATGAGATCAACCAGAGCAGAATCCTATGATCACCAAAATGTCCCTCTTTCCTGATCCCAGATCCAGTGTGATAAAAGCATGTTTCTGGAGCTGAACACAAAAGGCTCAACAGAGTGAGAGACATGGACCTGTTGCACTCCACAGCCTCAGAGTGACCACTGGGACATACCTGTGACTGTCCTTGTAGGTATCATGTTTTACTCAGCTAGATGTTTTTACATAGATGATGGCTCCAGGGCTGACCAATCTCACGGCCGTGACAGAATTCATCCTCCTGGGCTTTCCCACCCAGGGGACCATGGGCTTCTTGCACCTGCTGCTCTGATCCCTGGTCTACCTGTGCGCCCTGCTGGGGAACGGGCTCATCATCCTCATCACCACCCTGGACCGGCACCTCCATACCCCTATGTACTTCTTACTGAGGAGTCTGTCCTTCTCGGACCTCTGCTTCCTCTCAGCCACGGTCCCCAAGTCCCTTGCCAACTCTCTGAGGCACAGCGGCTCCATCTCCTACTCGGGCTGTGTCCTCCAGGTCTTTGTGCTGATTCTTTCAGGGGCTGCAGAGTTTCACATCCTTGTGGTGATGAGCAATGACCGCTATGCTGCCATCTGCCACCCCCTGCACTATGAGGTCATCGTGTGCAGGGACAGGTGTGTGCAGCTGACAGCTGTGTCCTGGCTGGGTGGGGGTATCCATGCTGTGATGCACACAGTTGGAACCTTCTCCTTGTCCAACTGTGGGTCCAACGTGGTCCACCAGTTCTTCTGTGACATCCCCCAGTTATTGGCTACTTCCTGCTCAGGAAATTTAATCAACGAACTTGTCCCTATTCTCACTAGTGTAGTGACGGATTCCTTTTGTTTTGTTTTTATCGTTATTTCCTATGTCCATATCTTCTCTGCTGTCAGGAAGATCCCATCCACAGAAGGGAAGTCCAAAGTCTACTCCACCTGCCTTTCCCACATGCTGGTTGTGGTGCTGTTTGTCTCCACTGGATCCTTTGCTTATCTGAAGCCGACCTCAGAGACTCCGGTCATTTCTATGTTCTACACTGTGGTGCCCCCCACCCTTAATCCCGTCATATACAGTCTGAGGAACCAAGCCATGAAGTCGGCTGTAGGGAGACTGATGAAGGGGAGACTCACCAAAATGTAATGGAGAAGATTAGTTCATGACTCTATTATGACATATTTATTTTAAATTTTCACATTATTGTCCCCTTCCTATTCTTTATATAATTTTATTGTATAATTTAAAAATAGATGCTCATTTTTAAGATATATTTTCGATGACTTCATATATTCTTCTGCTCATTCACTCGATTAGCATTGATTGTTGCTCTTTTTAACACTTAGCTGCAATTTGTTATTCTCTGTACAAGGAAGGTCACCTAACTTCAGCATTTGTCTGCTGTTCTCCACTTCTGTGCTCTTGGCTAAGGAGTGATGGTTGGTTTTCATCTCAGTCACCAGCAGAATTTCTCTCATTGGGGCAGCATCTCCAGTATCTAAGTCACTTCCCCTTTCATGTTACTGACTCTTGCAGTCACATGTGGGAATAGGGGCTATTGGTGGGACAGATGCCCCTGTTCTTTGTGAGTGAGGCCGTCCTCGCATAAGGAAGACCTGAGGGCCCAAGTTGGAAACTGAGTGGTCATGACCTTCTGTGAACAAAGACCCACACATGACAGAGTAGAGTCCCTCCTGGAGGCTCTGGTGTGGGTGCCACCGGCATTTACCATAAACACACTCAGCGCACAGTGGACACCAGATATAAGACAGTGCCTGTGAAAGCTGTTAATTTCATGTGCAGTATAATAACTAAAAGTTTACTAAATTAGTGAGTAGGGTTTTTCAAGAAACAATAAAGGAACTTTGGAAGCTATAATGGTAAAAAAAAAAAATACTAGCTAGTGGACTACGCAATATTCTAATATTTCCAGAGATAGTTGAGGAAGGGCACTCACAACATCACACCACACTTTTCTTGTGTGTTTATCCCCATATATTTAATTTCCTAGAATTTCTGGGAATTTGAGGACAATGTCCTTTTGGCCACATTATTATGGGGTTCTCAGAGTGTTTGCACTTCCATGTGGAGTAGTTCAAACGAGAAACCTCATCGGATTTACATATCATAAATATGAAAATTTCACAACAAAATATTTCATGATAATATGCAGTTCCAACTGGATATCAGACATTTAACTCATTCTCAGACATTCACGCTCTGAGGGTGCTAATCAGGCTGACCTTGCCTTCAGCCCAGGTGAGGCCCATGTGGGCACAATGTCAGTTTGGAGGCAGCCAGGAATGGTTAAAAAATGGTAACATCATCTTTGAACGTCTGGGTTGACCACTTGCAACTGTTCTTTTAAATCATTGGCATTTTTATTTTTTCTGATGATAGATAACATACTTATTATGTATTCTAGCTACTGTCATAGTTTACAGGTCAATAAAAGTCATGGGATATCAAGAGAAGGTTATGGGATATAATGAGAATTCAATACACGTATTGAATGAAGAAGCTGAATCGGACTATTATAAACATATACTGAGACTATTCATTGCCTACAATTTGTCAGTTTTGTGTAACATAATTAAAATGTTTAAAATAATAAAACATTTAACAGTCTCTCAGTTGTATGGATTTGAACATTTCAGCACAATTAAAGCTGTTGTGGACAATGTAATATACACTAAGAAAACAAAAGATTCCACCGAAAAACAAATTAAAATAAAAAGCCACTTCAATGTAGTTGAAAGTGTAAAAAATCAACACACAGGGCCTCCCCAGTGGTGCAGCAGTTGACCATTGGGCTGCAAATCTGCCTGCAGCCTCCACAGTGCCAGTTCAATCCCCGGCCGCCGACGAGGGACCCTCATGGTGCACAGACCTCTCCTGCCAGTCGCTGCTCGCCTCAGCAGTTTACTTCATTAGTCTGCCTGTTCTGTTCCCCGCGCTGGCTCTGGTGAGTTCTCTCACCCTTGTGCGCATCTCACTGTACCCAGTGCTTGCATAAATAAATAAATAAATAAATAAATAAATAAACAAACAAACACAATGTTGTCAACTTGTGTTAACTTAATAAATAAACCAACCTTTAAAAAAAAAAAACAACACACAAGAATCAATTGCCTTCTATATGCACAAAATTAACTAGAAAAGAACTTAAGAAAACAATCCCACATATAATCATGAGATGAAGTACCATGGAGTAAATATAACAAAGGAGGTAAAGATGCCAAGAAAAGAGTAAGATATTGTTAATAGAAATGGAAAAAAAAAAGAGAAATGGAAAGATATTCCCTGCCCTTGGTTTGGGAGAATCAACATACCAAATGTGCATCTGACCCAATGCAATTTACAGATTCAGTGTAATCCCAATAAAAACTTCAATGGCATTTTCCAAAGATATATAAAAAAAATGCTCAAAGTTCGCCCACACCAGGCCCCTTCTGGCCTGCAGTCCAAGCCCAGAGGAGGAGCGGGAACCCAATGCTGGGTTAGACTGGTTGCACAGGAGTGTGTGCCCGCATCACCACTTTATAACAGGGACGTTTCTTCAGTAAAAACTGCTTGAAATTGGCAGAAGACTCCCGGAGGAAACAGAGGTGAGCTGGGAAGTTCACCCATGCCAGGCCCCTTCTGGCCTGCAGTCCCAGCCATGAGGGGGAGCGGGAACCCACCGCAGGGGCAGACCAGGCATGCAGAGGAGTGTGAAACCTCATTGCCTTTTTAGAACAGGGACCTTTCTTCAGTAAAGCCTGATTGAAACCGGCAGATGGCTCCTGGAAGAGCCAGAGGTGAGCTGGGAAGTTCGCCCAAGATGCCGGCCAATCCCAGCAACACAGTGTCCCAATGCATACGGCAAATTAGAAAACAGGCAGTAGGGAAAAGAAAAACCACACGCAACCCAGCAACTCCTCAGAAAAAAAGCACACCACAAAATGAAAATTACTCCCCAGATTGCAACGACAGTAATTTGGAAGATCTTCTGAGCCTTCCAGAAAGAAAATTTAAAATTGCCATGATTAAAAAAATGACAGAAGTCGTAATGGAAAACAATGATAAGGCAAAAATAATCAACAAACATAAGAATGAAATTGAGTCCCTAACTAGGGAAGTAAAAGAAATGCAGGAGATCAAAGAATGAATGGAGGCACTAAAGAACTCTGCGAAAAGCAATGAAAGCAGAATAGATGAAATGGAAGAACAA